GGGTGCACACCTGTACCAGGTGTCAGGAGTCTGGTCTCCCCCTCGGCACCATGTCGGGTGCACACCTATACCGGGTGTCAGGAGTGTGGTCTCCCTCTCGGCACCATGTCGGGTGCACACCTGTACCGGGTGTCAGGAGTCTGGTCTCCCCCTCAGCGCCGTGTGCACACCTGTACCGGGTGTCAGGAGTGTGGTCTCCTTGTGCCTGAATCACAGCTCATTCTCGTCTGTCACTTGACGCAATCTACCCGGCCACGTGTCGGCACTGCTTTGAGTCCACCAGTGACTGTAGGAGGACAGCCATTCTTGTCCTGTTAAGATTTGCAGCCTCGGTGACCCGGTAACTCGTGGTTAGGACTTGGCACTGGCTCTGCTTTGGCATTTGGAGGAGATGTGACGGTAGGATCTCCTTGGAGCTTTGGGTTGCATTTCTCTGATGATGGTTGTTCTCCTGCGCCTGGCCGTGGCTGGGTACCGTAATACGCCGTGGACTGCCAGACAAACGAGTCCGTGTCAGAGGGAGCGCAGCCTGGGTGCTTCCTGGGGGCTAGGGTGGTGGAGCTTCCTGTCGCACGTTTGGGTGGGTTGTCAGAAGCCTCTATGTGGGGGAAGTCCCAGAGAAAGATACTGTGCTTGAGAAAGTAGGGGGGTCAGTGAACACGAGGAAGACCCCAGCACGGAGCTGGCCACACAGGGCAGCCTTTGAGCATGGTGGGTGTTGTGAGGACGCCGCCCGGCAGTGCGTTGGTCGGTCACCGTGAGGCAGAGTGGACAGTTGTGCAGCAGCAATGACTGGAGATGCTTTTTCTCTCGTGCTTACTGGCCGCCTGTGCATCTTCTTTGGAGGATAATCCAAGCAAACAACATGTTTTATCCATTGGTCTGCGGATGAACATTTCGATGCTTCCTCCTCCGGCAATTGGGAATAACGCTGCAGTGGACATTCGTGTCCAACCCTTTGTGTACACTTGGGTTCCCTTGGTGTATACACCCAGGCCAGGAGCTGCGGGCCCATGATAAATCTGTTTCACTTTCTAGGAGCTGCCAGAACGTTCTCCACAGCAGCTGCACCGTTTTACGTTCTCTCAGCCACGCGCAAGCTTCTGATTCTGGCACATAACTTGTTATGGGGCTTTTTATTATAGCGATCCTGGTAGATGTGAAGGGCTGGCTCGCTGGAGGTGACATTTGAATTCCTCTTACAAGTAATGATGTTTCATGTGTTTAGAAGATAGCTTCTCTGCTCGCCGAGGCGCACTGACATTGTTGACTGGGCGTGAGCAGAGGGGCGATGAGGGCGGTGCAGGGAGCTCAGGGTTCATATCCGTCATGCACAGCGTTCTGGGACCGGTGAGGACTGGGTGGCACTGAGCAGCTCCAGCAAGACAATGGGTGGTCAGCTGGAGGACGTGTGTAGGACACCCTCCCTGCTGAGGGCCGGCTTGCTTTATCCCTTCCCCCCCTGAAATAAAAATAACAAGTGCTTTTTTAAAAGGTTTTCCATTTATTACTCCTCTGGAGGAAAAGCCGTGCAGTTCCCGGGGCTCAGGTACCGGGGCCCCCAGCGCCTCTGCCAGCACCCGCGGGCCTGCGTTCCCGCTGACTTCCTGGCTCTGCTGTCCCTCACACGTTCCCTTGACGTCTTTTTCCTCCCATGGGGACCACGTCTTAGATGTATTTGGATTGGTTTTTCCTAGTGTGACCTAAGGAGTTGTCCATCATGCTGAGGCCATTGTCACCTTCCCAGCTCTAAAATGGACTTTGACTCCTGGCCCAGGGTGGCGTCTGGTGACGTGGCCTTGTACATGTTGACTGGACTTCCTCCTAGTTTGTCTTGGGTCCTCCTCCTCCCTAGAGTGAAAAGCTTCAGTGACCGTTGGCTTTCGCTGCAGTGGTTGCTTGGTCATGTGCTCCCTGGTCCAGGTAGGTGCTGTCATTAGTCATGGTGGCCGTGGCTTAGCCAGCGCGTGTACAGAGGAGAAGCTGTGCCAAGTGCTGTCTCTTCCTCACGTGCTTTCAGCCACCTTCTTTGGAGGGCTATTTCGGTAAGTCCTTTGCCCATTTTTTAATTGGGTGGTGTGTCTTTTATGCTTATCAATCTCAAATCAGAAGCAACTCTTCCCTGACCCCCAGCGAGTTCTCAGAGGCTGTTCCCCACTTATTCTTCCTCAAAACACTTGGTGGATGGAACCACCAGAGGCAGCACTTTAAGTTAGCAGTCAGCTCCCTACAGACTATGCCGCAGCCCCTTCTTTAATTGTTACGTTGTTGTTATTGTTGTTGTGTACTGTGGAGGCCGAATGGACCCATGGCTGCCCCTCTGGCAGGTTTTCAGAGGCGGTTAATTGCTGCAGAAGGAGATTGTCCATCCTTCTCCTACGGAACAGCTGGTGGCCTCAAACCGCATGCCTTCAGGATTGCAGCTCAGCTTCTTGCCTCTAGGCCACCAGAGCTTTAATTGTTATGTTGTTGTTATTGTTGTTATGTGTCAGGGTGTCTGTTTCTTCTTGAGTGTCACGTTCCTAGGAGTTTGTCCATTTCCTCAACTTCTTGATACAGGATTGTCCGTCACATCCACCCGTTGTTTGTGTGAGGTCAGTCGTAATGGCCCCAGTTCCATTCCTGGTTCTAGTAAGTTAGCTCCTCTTTCTCTTACCTTTGGAGTGATTTTTAGAAATTCTCTCCGTCCTTAGTGTCCCACTATGAATGTGCCTCGGATGAAGGGAGTAGGGAGACAGGCCCATTTGGGGAAGCGTCCAGGTGGAAACCTAACCTGCCGTCAGGAGCTTCTAGACGGCAGACGCAGCATGGCGGTGGCTGAGGCAGACTTCTGTCCACTTCATAAAGGGAAACTGTCCCCATCAACAATGTCCACAGCAACAGAGAGCAACTGTGTCAGGCACACCACCTGCATGCTCCACATCTATTTCCACCAACTTCTGCGTCCAGTCTTCATTGTGGACTCACAGACTTTGCTGGCAGTTGTTGTCCCACAAGTGGGATTTATTAGGGAAGTAGATTGGGGAGTGGGAGAGGCAAAGAGCATCTCATAATGGAAGTCCAGATTTCGTCCAGCAGTCACAAGCCAGATTAGCAGCAAAGCACAATTTCTTAATCAGTAAAAGTCCTGGTTTCAATTCAGCAACACAGATTCAAGAAGCTTCTGGTTTCTTCCATCATCCAGCAAGGTTTGCCTCAGAGCAGTTCTAAATCAGCTTCTCCTTCAGTCACCCAGCAGGCACAGCAAAACCTTAACTGTGGTGCTTCTCCCAGGGCTCTGCTGCTTACACTTTGCCACAGTTTCTCCACAGCAGTGCCACAGTCTCCACCACTGTTACAAGGCTCTCGCGCCAATCTCCCTCCAGTCTTGCTGCCCAGTCTCTCTCTCTCTCTCTCTCTCTCTCTCTCTCTCTCATCCTAGTCTAGTCTCTCAGCTGTTGATTTGTAAGACCATGTGTCTAGAGTTAAGGAAGTGGAGAGCACGGAGCTAATGTTATGGCTAGAGAAGCCAACTTGTAAGCTAACATGGCAAGGCCTAACCCCGCGAGTAGGCCTCTAGCAAGAGGGTATTCTGGGGGCCTTGGAAGCTTTGTGGTGGAGTTAGAATTTAAGCTGCCAGGAGGGGGTGAGGCTCTGAGTATTTTTGTAGGACCTGGCGTTTAGGGGGAAATGTCAGGATAAGAAATTAGTTTGTGTGGAGTGGCTAGACATATAACAAGGCCTCCTCTCCCAATCTCCTCTAATGTCCACTCCATTTTAGAGGGAAGGAGCTTCTCAGAGACCCTGGCCCACCCTGTGGCAGGAGGTACGGCCTGGGCATGTATGCAAAAGCTGAGGGATAGACAGGAGATTGGGGGGCCTGGGTCTTACAGGGTTGCCAAGCAGTAGGAGATTAAAGTCAGGGTGGCTGGGATGGGGGTTCCAAGGTAAGTGGCCAGGTACAGGTGGTAACTGGCAGAGGTGCCAAAGAAGGAGGAGGAAGCTGAAGGGGGCACCTGGCATAGGAGCTCAAGGTCACCCCAGACTCTACTGGCTGCATGGGGGTTGACCAGAAAAGCAGAAGAGCTGTGAGGTACTGAGTGGGCAGGGTCCATGGGTCCTCAGCCCCTGCCCTCGGTGTAAATGGGTGTCCTGGAGCCCAGGGCCCTGCACCCCAACACACCC